ATTATATATATATATATATGTGTGTGTGTGTGTGTGTGTGTGTGAACATTATATTATAGCACCGATATCGAGGTCGCTATACGCAATACGCATAAAACGCCTAGAAAAATATGTAATATATTTACGCTCGTTATATCTGATTGCTCATGTATTATATATCATTTGCCGCCAAAGGATGAGAACATCGCGTTTCGAGACTAACGTCGACGTTCAAGGAATATTGAAATCTAAAAACTGATTGTTTTTGAATAAACTCCATTAGAAAAATAATTAAACGTAAGTATGAAGAGTGGGATGTGACATAATTAAAAAGGACAAGAAGTATTTTTCAAAATTGTTACCTCTCATGTTGAACTGAAACATAAATAAGAACGAAGTAGAAAGGTTTTAATAACATTTTACTAACGTTTTAAAGATGTCATTAAGACATTATTAAGACGTCATTTAACATAACTTTGCTACTTGGATCCATTGTTTTTCGCGCAGATTCGTTTCCGATTGATTACAGTCTCCAGAGATCCTTTAATTAGAGTGGCCATGACAAATGTCGTGGCCGACATTTTTCATCAAAATTGCGAGTGAGGAAAGACATGACGCACTTTCTATATTCTTTGAAGTGGAATCTCACTCTAAGGAGTGAAAATTAGCAAGTCTTGGAAAAGAATGGCTCAATTTTCAATCTTTAAGAGTGAGGTTTCACTTTTCTGAGTGAGCTTTCACTCTAGAAGTTTCAGAGAGTAAGAGTACCAGGTGTAACATTGCGCATAATGGTAGTTGAATATAATTTGTGGATCGAATTTCTGGTTGGATGGCAAATTTCTCGTAGCGTCACATTGGCTTATAAAATTTGTTGTTTTTTTTTTTTACATGATACACTTATTCTTTTCTTATGCAGCATGAAAAAAAAATGTTATCTTGCTCAAACGTAGGTTGCTATCTTATGGCCAGACTTTGATTAGAGGATTTCTACGATTGACGGCCCCAAACCGTTTTCCGAATGATGAGAAATTTCAAACTCACTCGTGAAGATTGGACCCTCTCGGATCTCGAAACGCGACGTTGTGTGCGTAATGACGGGATGAGATACTTTAGATAATTTCGTACAGACAGTACAGCGTTTTTGTACTTAGTTCCTACTCACCCGACGAATTGTGATAAGCGTCTGACTTTGGCGATCCTGCAAAATTCAACGCGATTAAGTTTTCGAGCGTGTCGTCGCTCGCGTGCGATCGTTTTCCGTTCAACATCGTTGCGCGAATAATTGATCGGTCCCGTTCATCGTGCTTGCAAAATAGTTACCTACCATTTTCCTCCAGACAGAATGCGTATCGGTTGTTTCTAGAGTAGCGTGTGAACCGAGTATATTTTTCTAGTTCACAAAGACGCGTTTTTATTCCCGTTAGAGGATTTTCCGCTCGTCGATGGACTCGCGTTAAGAGACCTGCCTCCGTGTTAAATTTTTAAATGTGCAAGATTGTTAATTCGTTCAACTCGTAGACAGATAGTAGATATGAAAGTACATGGAACACTTATATATATATGTTTGAGATATCAGAAATTTTAATATCGACATCAGATATCAAATAATGTTGGACGAAGGTGCTTTTAAATAACTTTAACATCATATCAAGAAAACGAAGGAAAATAACGTGTTTACAGTTCAAATGTCAGGAAATTTTAAAGGGCTTCTTGTACTTCAACGACGCAGCGAATTTGCATACAATAGAAGTCCCTGATATAATATTCTAAAGCATTAAGTCATTAAAAAAATATTATCTCTTTGTATGTGTGTGAGTGTATATGCACGCGTGTGCATGCATGTGTGTGCGTGTGTCATTTTCGTAAAGTATTAATTTTATTTCAAGTATTTTATGTTGTAGAATATTATACAGGGCGTCCCAAAGTTAGCGACTCAAAATACTATAGCAAGAAAATTTTTGACAAATCAAGTCTAATATTAGTTATTAGTAAATTTTTATTTCAGGCGATAATTTTTGAGATAATAAGGGAAGTCAGTGTAAATATAGTCGGTTACAGACCACATTTAGATGGCCATCTATCCGTAGAATCTCGGTAGTATTAGTAAGCGTTCTCTAGCGCATTCACTAATACTGACAGATGTCCATCTATACGTAGTCTGTAATCTTGGCTATATTAGAATAGAATAGAATAGAATTTCATTCTCTTCAGTATTTACAAAGAGGGAATTTGCCTTACAATCGTCGTTCCTATCTCACTCATCCATCCATACCTTCCTCTCCCCTACTTTAAATTGTTTATTACTTCTATCTTTCTTTCTTTGTTATTGCTCTTT